GTATACTAAAATCCATGTGAAAAAAATTGCTTCTCACTGTTCTCAGGTCAAATATTTCTATGTTATTAAAAATGCGATTAATTAATTACAAAGCCTGTAATTAATTAGATTAATTTTTTTAATCGAGTCCCGGCCCTAATAAAAAGCAAAAAATAGCATGAAACACATGACTTTCATCCAGGAAGCTGGTGTTTGCTGAAGGACAACATTGTGTTTCACTTGGTTTGGCAGTTATTTTGACCCAAAACACAATCCTTTCAAGAAACTAAACATCAGTTGTGTTGTCTAAACCTAAAGACGTTGTTTTGTTTGTGTTCAAAACATCACGCTTTATGCGGTTTAACAATGCTTTGGTTTCATTTCCACGAGGTACAGTTTGGCCTGATTGATGCATTACAATGGCAGCGATTACCATTAATAATGACCATTTCAACTGCTGATAACATTTAAAAATGGTGTTGGTGAAAGAACACACAACAAAGCAAAAGATCCCTGTAGGCTAGGCATCTTAAAAAACCTTTAACACAACACACTTGAGTAACAGGTTATGTGTTGCTGTTGCAAATTGAAAAATGTCAGGTTTTCTACTATAATATGATGCGTTCCTTATAAGACAACATTTCCCCCCAAAATACAGATGTATCTTTCAGGCAAATGGAGAATTGTTCCTTTAGATAACAAGACTTCCAGCTCCTGATCTGTTGCTTTGGTTGCTGTAATGTTTTGCAGGTTTGACCAGAAAGCCAGTGATGAGGATTAAAGAATGTTTGTTATGGCAAAGGTTCCTTCACACGTGTAACATTTATAATCTGCAGCCTAAGGCTAAAGCTCTGTTCACACGTTTTTGGATTCATAAATATCTGGGAGTGGCTGAAAGCCTTTCTGTAGTATTTTGTGTTTTTAGCTTACAGCCAATGAGGGTTTTGCAATTGGCAATACACAATGGCAGGCCCATCATGGCATGTGCAATGGGAGGGGAGGAACATGCTTATATCAGGTCATCAGAATAGGCTCTGGCCTCAAGTCTTATTGATGCTGCATTGACAAAAGTGCTCCTTATTGCTAAAANCCCGTGGATGGGACATTTTGTTTTAAAAAACGGACGGATGGAAGCATCGAGGTGATATGCAAATTCCTTTTTGCATAATTTGCAAACAACCGTGCTCTTATCGATGCTTCCATCCGTCCGTTTTTTAAAACAAAATGTCCCATCCACGGGGCCAACCAAAGCGGTCTCATCAGCTTCTTCGTTCACGTTTGACTATTGTTCACTGTGGTTTGTTGTTGTCTGAAGTCATGAACGTTAGTTGGTGCTCCAGTATAATCGGTACCCCTGAAACTCATCCAGTGAGAAACGTTCCGCGGTACAAAAATAAGTGCGATTAAAATGCGTTAATTTTTGTGTCATTAATTAATCTTAATTAACGCGTTAAAGTCCCGGCCCTACTTTTTATACTACATCACCTCAACAACGACTAATCGCTGCAGCTCCACCTAGCAAAGATCTACTCACATTGAAGTCAAAGCAGGATTTATAGGCTTTTCATGAAGGATTTAAGTGCCCTTAATAGAATAACAGGTCCATCCAGCCTCTTTTCCTTTCCAGAGTGTGGTTCACTGACTTGATCAAACAAAGAGGGATCTGTTGTGATGGGATATTGCATGGTGACCCCTTTTTAAATAAACAACATGTGTTGCTTGCTCCTACGTCTCTCACACAAACACACATAGCTATACTTAACAAAGGTCTCCTTAAATGATCTTTATCCTGGGATCTAGTTCAGTCTTGTTTGCTTGATGCATCCTGTGCCCTTAGTACAACATCAGGGCTTTTGTTCATTGTGGTGCAGATTATGAAAAATGAGAACAATGGGCAAGGTCCTTCTTACGGTTGCCTCTACTTGTCTTTTCGCTAAAAATTATTTCAAGTCAAGATCGGTGCTCACTGGATCCAATGCATTTAACACCGGCTCACAAAAAAAACAATCAGTGTTAGATTGTTAGGTTATTTATCCGTGGAAATACCCATGAGGGTTTTTTTCAAAGCATCAAACTGATACCAGGTCTGTTAAACGTTGTTACTGCAGGACAGTGAACCACTCAAATGCCAAACTGGCGGCTGTGGCTCAGTGGATAGAGTGCTGGACTTTGAAGCAGGGGGTAGCAAGTTCGAGTCCCACTGCAGTCAGCATGTCGTTGTGTCCCTGGGCAAGACCCTTCACCTCAAATTGCTCCTGTGGGGGTTGCCCACAGTGCTGAATTTACAGTATGTAAGTTGCTTTGGATAAAAGTGTCTAACAAATGACATGTAATGTAAATGAAAGCAGTTTCTATTAAGCATTTCAATTGTAGGTTTACAGCTTTTTGGATGTTAAACCGTTTGTAGCTGATTCATTTGTTACTGTGCTTCCATGAAGGGGATTCCTCTTTTAAATGAAGGAAGATAATAATCAGGAATAACACCTTTTTTGAAAGTGCTGATTTTGCATAAGACAAGAGAGGCTGTGCAACACAAATAACGCTTCAGCAGGAAATATAACGAGACTGTTTTACTATGCTGAGTGAACGTGAAGTTTTCCATGATTATCGTGAGAACAGCTACTTTAAAGACTTCTTAGCTTACTCATATTATCCCTACATTTTGATACATACAGTACAACCATCTTCTTAAAATAAACATATATGCTAGTGTCAATTTGGATACTTCCATTAGTGGACTTTCCTGTCGTACACTGTGTTCTTTCTTATTGAATTTGGACTGGGTGGTGGAGTCTCAAATCGAACATGGTTGCTGTACACTCATTCGAAAATAGTTAAAATCATTACAGAATGCTACATTTACCAAATAGACCATTTATTTCTAACATCAGTATAGCTGAACGTAGTGGATGCAATTTGTATTGAAGCAATCATAAGGGTCCAAGTTTTTGACATGTACAAGTAAACCACCTGGGTACTCATGGTGCACTGCAATTTCGAGATACAGCAATAATGTTGCTCTCTGTAACATTAGTACCTGAACAATAAATTACTTTAAACTAAGTAAGTAAAAGATCAGAGCCCTAGCCCATTTTATTTAGGCACTTGAAACACAATCTTTATCAACCATTCCCAACAAATTGAGTCAAAAGTCTCTTAGCTAAAGCACCGGAAAGCAGGGTCCTCTTAATGTCTCGACCCCGACGTCTCAGCTGCCACGCCACTGTTTGTCACCCTGAATGCCACAAGAGAGCTGGAATAATTTAGTTCACCAACAACAAAAGAGGCACAAAGGGAAAGAGTGAGAGTGTGTGTGAGTGTGTGTGTCAGGGGGTGGGGGGGAAGAAGTGTGTCTGGCTTGCCGTCCTTCAACAATGCAGCTGCCTCCCAATCTGTCCCACTGTGACGGTGGTATTGTTCTCCACTCCCGAGCAGCGTGCACAGACGGAGGCTGGGGGGCTTTTTAAACCCGTTCACCCCCCCCACACACACACACACACACACACACACACACACACACACACACACACACACACACACACACACAGGTTGCCAGACGGAGACTTTGAGGAGTCAGCAGAAATATGAAAGTGACACAGCGAGTGTGAATGGCCTCGTCAGAATCAGAATGTATGAATTATCATCGCAGTCAATATGGCTCTAATTCCTCTGCTCTGACTTTACAAAAATATGTAAAATAAGACAAATATAACATAATAATCGTGGATCTACTCTAGAAGCTCTCCTATGGTGGAAAAAGCCCAGATAATCAAATCCGGAGGACAAAAAGCGTCTGCCGTAGTTAATGAAAGTAAATGACATTAACGCAAATCTCATTTCGGAAAAACAGAAGCTGTTTTCGAACAATTACCACATTATAAAAGTACAATAACATCACTGTTGTGCAATATGTTAAAATGCTGTCCTCAGTTCTTTGTGCACTTCCCTATAGAGAACCGCAGTGACGCGTCGTAAAACCCGGAAGTAAACTTCTTCCGGTTCCTTCTTGAAAAACCAATGCAAATTCTCCATAGGGTTTTGGAAAATAGCTCGAAATAAGGTCTGTGGTTGACACACATTTAAGAGAGGGGTCACGTTTTGTTCAGCCGGATAATCTCCACATGTCAACCCTACTTTTATAATTTTTGAATCATAAATCTAGTCGCCAAAAGCGAAATGCTAACGTTATGCTATAAACGAACTACAAGCCAGTACAGCAGCAGGGTCGCACGACTTCAACGTCACGCCAACTTAAGATCGTTTCAACTGACTTGCACTGAAACTGCACTTTGAACACTTTAAATATATTAA